AAACCTTTTAAGCTATTGCAGTCATCCAGGGAAGAGATTTTGAGGTCCTAAACTAGGGTTATGTCATGAGGGGAGAGGAGGGGATGGATATGAGAGATGATAGGGACAGAGAATTGATAGGTATTAGTAAGTGATTGGATACAGAGATTGGGGGGAAGCGGAAGTTGAAGACAACGGTAATTTTGGAGCTAAGTGACTGGGAGAAAGGTGAGCGCTCCTCAAGAAATTGGGCATTACAGAGGAGGGTTCATCATGTGGGAAGACTATGAACACGGTGTTGAATTGACCAAGTTTGAGATACTGGTAGGACATCCAGCAAGCATTTGCAAAGCTGGAGTTCCTGGGAGAGTTTGGGCTGGAGACAAAGATGAAGAGATTGTCATCTAGGTGGAGATAGCACATGAAGCCATGAATGTGGGTGAAATCACCAAGGGAAGGCCCGGAACAGCATCTGTCACTCACAATCATCTCACTAGATAGATATCTCCATTTTACAAAGGGAGAAACAGAAAATGGTCAGTAGGTGACAGTAAAAAGGATGAGAAGACTAGCTTGTCCACACAGGTTTCATGGCCTTCAAGAGGAAAGGTCCTTGAGAGATGGGAGTGGAAGGATGATCCAGAAGTGGCAGTAGTAGGCCACCCCTATTTGCCCGCTGAGCTGGGAAAAATGAGAGTGCCCTCCGAGGAGGTTTCAAGGGATTTGGGTGTCCTGGGGGAGAACTGGGCTTTGCTTAAAGCAGAGGCAAGTTGGTTGAAAAGCTTGAAGGTGTAGAGGATGTTGTTAACAGTGAAGTAGGATTCCAGAATTCACAGCAGAGCTGGCTATAAGATGGGCAGATCTTTAGGGAATAGGCCTGAGATGTGCTAATTATATTCGATGGGAGGGAGGAGTAGGGAATCATGTTGAACAGAGTCTGGGGCCAAATTATGGTGATCTCTGAACACCAGACAAAATTCTGGACTTGATATTTTTACCAGTAGGGAGACATCTAGATTCTTGAGTAGGAGAAGAACATAATGATGACAGAGTTTTAAGGATATTATTTTGGTAGCCACAGACAGGATGGGTTTGAGTGGGGAGAGCCTGGACACAAGGAGATCAGTTGAAGAGACTGTTGTCCAGAGACTCGATGAGTTTCCTGGAGCCCTGCATCTTAGCTGGAGAGAAAATGAACATGCGTTTGGAGTGAGGTCAGATTGAATAAAGGGAATGAAGGATAAGAATAATAACATGCTGAGGTTTAAATAAACCAGATTTCTACATTGTAGGTTGGTTTCCTTTATTAAAATTCCTTCTTTTGGCATCAGCATGTATCTGAAATATTTTTTTTAAATAATGTAAATATAGTAATGTTACCATCCTTGAGACTGTGTCCTCAGTTCTTTGGTACTAACTTCATCTTCTTAGATAGGGTCCAAAATATGAACCTGCCAGATCTCTAAAAAGGAATGGCGCATGAGAGAGGAAAAACGAATTGGAGGAGCTTGTTCCAATGTCAAGAAAAAAAGTAGGCAGCAAATTCTTCACTATGAAAAGAATGGTCTTATGAAGGATGCTCTTTTTGTATAGAAAATTGCATTAGGTTCACTAAGATCTGTTGAATTGAAATCAAACATATGTTTACTTATTAAAAACAGGGTTTTTTTTAGCCCTAAGTAGTGATTCATTTCACAGTGGGCAGTGAGAAAAGAACTTTGACAGTGAGCAGCTTGTGTTTTAGGTGTGAGTGAGACTAGATTGATTCCCTCTGACATTCCTTCAGGCTGTGTCTGAAGTGCTAGGAATGGTCTGTCTGCTCTTCTATCAAGAAGCCAAGGGAAATGGACTTGGGCTGTAGGGTGGCCATTAGGTTAGATGGAACCTGGTTCTAAGAAACTTTAACATGGGAGTGTCTCACTTCACTGATAGGATTTATTTTTCCTGCATGGAATAAATTACGAATTTCCCTGCTCATTCATAGACAGGGGAGTGGATTAGATGACCTCTCAAAATACTTCCAACACTAGGAGTCTTTTGTTCTGTGAATCTGCTGACTATAATAGGATCATGGCAGCTTAGAATGTAGTACAGTGCTACTGTGCTCCCTACATTTTTACTCTTTTATATCTGAGCAAACTCCAGCAATATCCTTTCTTATTTATTCTTTTTTTCAAACCCTTTAAAGTAGAGGTCCTTAAACTCTTTGGTGTCCCAGACTCCCGTGATTGCTGCAGCCTTTTATTCTGAGACCCCCTTCTCAGAACAATTTTTTAAAATGCATTAAATAAAATACATAGGAATTACAAAGGAAATAAATTATACTGAAATAGTTATCAAAATATTTTGTTGAAAATTTATAGATACCAAGTTAAGACTCTCTTCCCACCCCCTTCCCCCTACACACACACACTAAGGGGCCAGAGACCATATAATGATATAATCTGCGTCCAGGGCACCCAAAAGAGCAGAGGAATATGCTATTGAGTTTCCTCTGTTCTGTCCCACATATATAGGTCCAGGATACCCCACCTCCTAAATGTGAACTTTACCTTTTGAGCATGTCAGAATGAATTCTAAGGTACTGTGTACCAGTCTGAAATGAGTTGTTTAGAGTGTCTTGTGTTTTACAGAAATGTGTGCTGTAGTTGGGTCTCGTGTCTTCCTTTGCTTTGTCATCATTAGGACGAGAACTTTCCACAGTAATTACCCACCCCTTGAATTGAGGCGGGGAAGGGGGTAGGAGAGGGAAGGTGTTCGGCATTTTGTCTGGAAAGGATGATATGGGAGGTAAATGTTTCTTCATAAGCCTCTTTCGATAAGGTGACTATTTTCCTATCTTTAGCATAGTTCATTAGTCATAACAAAATTAGAGCAGATACTAAATAGAGCCTAAAACTATCCAGGTCATATATAGAGATTCCAATTTTAGATCCTCTTTAGATGATCCAGAGATTCATACAGTGATGACTTCTGGTAACCAATAGGATTGAAGAGCTCTTTAGTTGTTCAAGGCATGATTTTTTTTTAGGGGACAGGGAGATAAATTATATATAAATTATAGACTGGACTGTTTCTGTTTTTGACACTTGGTTAGGAATCTTTGTGTTGTTGCTCAGGAATGTGAATGAGTGGCATTCATGAGTAGTTTTTTGGGTGAGTATTTTGGCTAATTAATGGAAGGGTCAGTCTTTTTTTTTTTTTTTTGCCAACTCTCAGGAAGCCAGAACACTCTATATTGTTATTATTATTGAGTCGTTTCAGTCGTGTCTGACTTGTTGTGACCATTTGGGGTTTTCTTGGCAAAGATACTGGAATGGTTTGCCATTTCCTTCTCCAGCTCATTTTACAGATGGGGAAACTGAGGTGAACAGGGTATTAAGTGACTTGCCTAGGGTCACACAGTTAATAAACATCTGAGGCTGGATTTGAACTTAGGAAGATGAGTCTTCCTGAGATGAGGCCAAGGCCAGCACTCTATCCACTGCACCACCTAACTGTTCACAGAAGACTCTATGAACTCTATTTATCATGAACCTTTAGTTTCTTGGGACAGCCAGACTAAATTTCACACAATTTAGAAGTACTCTCCCTCTGAGATCTTAGAGGGAGGTGTTATTTCTCCAGAGATGTCAGTTTGTGTCTTGGTTACTCCTGGTTAGGTTTTCCAGCCCAGCGGAACTTAGAGTTTGCAGAGTGTTTGTCCATTGTACAACCATCTTTTCATGGTCATGAAATGACTCGCCATCACTTGGAAGATGTGCTGGACAGATTCATGTGAAAGGCTTTCATGGAGGCAAATGCAGGAGTTTCAGGGAATGCCCAAGCTGTCCTGGGAGACAGGAGCAGAGTGAGACAGTGGTCTTCTCACTTCACATTGGGCTACTTTTTTCCAGGATCCCATCAGGTTTTGTTTTTCTTTTCTTAACCAAGCCTCATTACTGGGTATGCTCAGAAAGCTGCTGCTGGGGCAGTGCAGCACTTGACCAGCCAGGCAGTTTAGCAGGCTGAGAGTTCAGCTGGTTAATCATTTTTTTCCTGGAGAGGTTGTTTTTGCTTCTCAGCCATTTATGTCAGTGGTAGGTATCCAGAATCTCAGAAATATTTGACTAGCTTGAGGAAGGATAAAAGGCAGAGAGCTCACCACTACAGTGGCATCAGTCTGTCTTGAAGCTCCCTGAGGAGAAGGCTGCACTTAGAACATTGTGGGCACTGAATTCAGGAACCTATGTCATGGCTCCTGCAAAACTTCCTGTTTGGCAATGCAGATGGCTGCTTGAGTATGAAAACTGGGTAATTATCCACCTTACTCTTGATTTGTCTAGGCAAACGCAGAATTTTACACACAAAGATCCTCACAAAATTGAAAGTTGGCACTGCACAGTGGTCAAAAACAGTTGCTCCCCTGTGAAGGTAGTGCCACGACAGTGTGTGGCCTAAAAGGACATATAAGTAAATTGTTCCCTAACCTGGGAGGACTTGTTTGGCATGAAGAGAGTCTCTCCTGGTCTCTTCCTGCCCAGGGGCATTCGGGCAGCTGAGTTCCTAGGAATTGGTTTCCCTGTTATAAAGTCCTGAAGCAGAGTCTGCTCCCAAATTTCCTTGCCCTCTGACAGGGCATTCACAGAGCCTCCACTTCTGTGTTCTGAATACACCTCTTTCAGCCACAGGTCAGCATCCATTGGCCTTTCTCTGAAAAGTCTTCTTCCAGTGACAGGCACTGAGGTAGAGGGTAGGATGCTGGGGAAATGGAGGGAAAGCTCTCTGTAGCTTTACCTGGGACCCTGGCTAAGACTTAGACGTGCCATTAACTTGTGCAAAGAGATCGTTTTCTGAGAAATGAGGCATGTGTGCTTTGTTGTGCTCTGTTTTCTCTGCTTCTCTTTAATGTGAAGAAATCAGCACCGTGTCCAGTGCTCCACTTTGCAGTGTTGTGTGTGTGTGTGTGTGTGTGTCCTGCTGTTTTCTAATTTGTGATTCCAAACACTCCCTGATTGATGACTCTGCTCTTTGTGTCCCAGAGAGTTTTCCAAGGAAAGAGAAAAGGCCAAAGCCCGAGGGGACTTCCAGAAACTCCGGGAGAAGCAACAGCTCGAAGAGGATTTGAAGGGCTACTTGGATTGGATAACTCAAGCGGAAGACATCGACCCAGAGAATGAGGAGGAAGGTGTAGATGAGAACAAGCGAAGCAGTGAGTATGGGTCTCCCTGCTCCCGACCTCGAAGAGGCTGAATTCAGTAGGAAGCTTGTGCACGCACGCATCCCCTGTATGGTTTCCTCACTGGTGCCAGAGATGTCTGCTGTCGTATTACCCCTCAGGGTGTCCTTTCTCTTCCTTCATTTCAGAAAGAACAATATTCACTCTGGTTCTACCTTTTGAACTCCCTTTGTTTTAAATTTAAATTTTGGGAGATACATTATCAGATAAGATAATGCATGTGAAAGCACTTCAACAATTATAAAGAATCATATGTCCTATAAAGTTATTTTTATTATTATATGACTTTACTTTTGAGAGAGATATGGGAGGCAGGCATCATTTGCCTTGGTGACTAAGCCCAACTTTTCCTCTCTTTTCCCTGTCAAGAAGTCTGGCAGAATCATTGCTGTGGCTAATTTGAATGTGGAGCCCTGGTCAGCTTGGGTCCTTTGAGTGGGTAAAGGCAACTGGGGCCAGGCCTGGAGAAAGGACAGTTTCCTTCACCTGTAAGCTAGTGACCCTCCTCTGTAGGTAATGGTCAGGTGCTTCTGTCCCTCAGGCAGCATCGCTTATAGTGCCTGAGGTGGACTTGGAGGAATGAGGATGATGATGAGAAGAGTTGACATTGGTTTGTGCTCTAAGTAGCTACAAAGTGCTGAACACTGTTGATTCCATTTGAAGACCTTGTGAGGCTGGGTCTCTGGGCTTCCTCCCTGGTAGTGAGTGGATGGGCCACGTTGTTGTTTAGTTGTTTGCAGTCATGTTTGACTCTCTTTGATCCATTTTGGGATTTTCCTGGCAAAGATACTGGAGTGATTTGCCATTTCCTTCTCCAGCTCATTTTTCAAATGAGAAAACTGAGGCAAACAGGGTATTAAGTGACTTGCCCAAGGTCACACAGCTAGTAAGTGTCTGAGGCTGGATTTGAATTCAGGGAGATGAATCTTTCTGACTTTAGGCCTAGCACTCTATGCACTATGGTGCCCCCTAGGTCACCAGCTGCAGTCTTTCTGGTGAAATGGATGCCCCTCAGGCCTTGCTGCCCAGTCCTGGGCCCCCTCAGGCCTGACTTAGGAGCTCCTGGAGGGAGGAGGATAAGTCTGGCCTTTTCTTCCTGGATCCCTGGGGCTGAGCCCAGCACTGGCACTTGGGAAATGTTTCATTCTTCATAATGCTCACATAAGAGCCAGAGGCAAGAGCTGAACCTAATCTGGTCCATTCTTGAAGTAGCGCCCCATGGCCTGGGAGAAGGTGACTTGAGTGGGAGGCAAGTGCTGAGTCAGCCCATAGGCATTTATGAAGCAACTTGTGTGTACTGGGGGCTGGACCCTGGGCACATAAAGACACAGAGAAATAGCCCCTGCCTTTAAGGGGCCAAGGTTGTGTCAGGAGGCCCCAATATGTGCGTGTGGAGGAGGCTTGGATGTAGGCCATCAGAGGCTGAGAAATCTCCTTTTAAACATCAATGGCCATTGATTTAGGCAAAGGGGGAAGAAGGCTTTAGGATTCAGCCTCGAAGGGGTCTCACATTTGGATGCCCAGCATCCCTGGATTAATGATGGTGATGCTGGCTGCCATTTACATGAAGTGTTTCCACTGGGCCAAGCACTTTGCAGTTATTATCTCGTCATCTCACAACAACCCTGGGAGGTAAGTGCTGTCATTATCCTCATTTTACAGTTGAGCAAACTGAGGCAGACTGAGGGTAAGTAACTTGCCCAGGGTCACACAGTAAGTGTCTGAGGTTGAATTTAAATTGGGGTCTTCCTGACTCCAGATTCAGTTCTCTACCCACTTGGCCACCCAGCTGCCCCTTAGAAGAAGTATTTGTGGTGAGCCAGGGCTGATAATGATTCAACCAATGTCAATTAATCGCTGTTGTCAGCCCAGATATTTCTTGGTCATAGAAAGTGCTGTGCATTTCCAGTGAACAGGCTTTTCTTCTTCCTGCTGAAAGACCTGGAGAAGTGTGGCTGAGACATTTGTAATTTGTGCAGTTGGCAGCAAGGGCAAAGGGTGTGCTTCAAGGGCACAAGTCTGTTGGGAAGCCTGGCCACCTGGCTGAAGAAGTCAGCCCCGAGGAGGCTGCGGTCATTCGCTTCCATGCCCCATAATGGAATCTTTCTCCTTGTGTTGGTGCATTTCATTGACTTGAATATATGTGTTCATGGAGGATGATGGCGGAATGAATTATAGACCTACATTCACCTCTGTTTTGGGCTGTGTTTCCCAACCTCGTGTGGTTGTGTCTCTTATGGCTGAGTCCCAATTGTTGCAGTACAATATGGGGCTGGGAGGACAAGGGGAGGGTCTCTAGATTTTTTGGAGGAAATTGGTTTGTGAGATGTGGGGAAAACAGTGGGGTAAACTTTTGGAAAAGAGTCAATAAAGGGATTAAAAAAAAAGGAGAAGGATGGGAAAGAGAAGAGAGGAGAAAATGCTCTCTCCCCAGAAGGGCTAGGTGCTTTCAAATTGGATACTGTGTGTTTGTGGTCTGACAGGTGCCTTGTAGGGTCCTGATTTGGAAAAGTGTAGAGGAGGAAGAGGGTGGAGAACAGAGGCAGGGTTGGCCCTGGTATCTGCACCCCAAGATACAGGGTTAGGGCTGCTGGGAAAGCCATGTGAGGAACAGTCCTGGCATCCTTCCAGCAAAACATGTGTTTGGCATGCAGCATGCATTCTTTTTAGTAGCACATATCACCTTTCTGCATGAATTTTTGTCCCTAGAGCTACATACCTACTTGTTGTTGGTCAAAATGACCCCAAAGAGGGAGAGATTAACCAGCAGGGGATTCAACATTGGTTTCAGAAAAGCCCTAGAATACATAGTGAAGAGTAGTATATTTGTTTCATATCAGCTCAGGGTTTTATAAATGAATATTCACTTACATTCAAAGAAAATTGATGTGTTCTTTGATTGGTAGAAATTAAGAACAGGGCATTTGTGTTTCTAAAATGCTACTCAAAATTTTTAATGTCATTTTAGTCAATCTGTGTTCTCCTGGTTCTTCAAAAGGCTTTAGTGTTTAAACCAAAGCAAATTTAATGCTTGCCAGGGACCCTGTAGATACCCAGCAGCTCTTCATATTTAGGTAAAATATCCTGTCTGTTTATTTTCTCTTTGTAGTGATGGTCTAAGGTTTTCTTCCCTCTGCCCCCATTTTCTAGATTGTAGCACTCATACTGACTTTTTGAAGTTAATAAACATTAATGGACCTCCTGCCTAGCCTTCTCCAGAACCCCAATTTGCCTTTTTCATACAGACAAGGAAATAGAATGCTCCTGTTTGCTGATATAGTTAGCATTGATATGAGCTCCTCTCTCTGAAGCTGTGATATTCCCATAGGCTCTGGGCACATTGATGATGATCTCGGCATTATGTAATTTCATTAAAAATGAAAAAATACTCTGGTGCCAGGGGGCTGTTATCTATTATGGAGTTTGAAGTTAGTTCCTATCCACAGTGATCTGAAAAGCAAGATTTTTTTGAGAGTCTTGAGAACTAAAAATCTTTTAAAGGAGACCAGTAACAATATAGCACCATGATGACCCTCAAAATACATTATTTAATAACACAAATAAGGGAAAGAAATAAAGTCTGTAAAAAAACAAAACAAAACAGTAAATCACCTGAATTAATGTTTTAATTGGCATTCCAGATACTGGGACTCTATCGCAGGACCTCGTTAGAATAATGTTTTTAAATGCATAAAATAAAATACATAGGATTACCAAGGAAAACATATTAAAATACAGTTACAAAGTGTAAAAAAAAAAAGTTCATAGACCCCCTGAAATCTATCCCTGCTTCAGTCTTGTGCCATGTTTTATGAGGATACTGATCAAGGCAACTTGTCCAGGGGAAGATGACTGGGATGGTGGGACAACTGCAAATCATGTCATTTAGGAATAAGTTAAGAGCATTGGAGAAATATGGTCTGCAGAAAAGGTTGTTTAGGTGGAAGAAGAGGAAACATTGTTGACATAAAGGGTTTAAGGACCCTTTATTCAATTTGCTCTGTTTAGTTCCAGAGGATAAAAGTAGGAAGGGTGTGTGTAAATAGCAGCAATGAGGATTAAAGTTTGCTAGCAGGAAAACTTGACAGTTATAGCTGTCTTTTTTTTTTTTTTTGGTTAGGCAATGGGGTTAAGTGACTTGCCCAGGGTCACACAGCTAGTGAGTGTTATGTGTCTGAGGCCAGTATTGAACTCAGGTCCTCCTGACTCCAGGACTGGTGCTCTATCCCATAAGCCACCTAGCTGCCCCTATAGCTATCTTTATTCAGAGGAGTGGGCTGCCCCGCGGCTACTGAGCCCCGTTTATTGACTGGAGATTTTCAAACCGACTTTGGATTGGGTAACCACTTGTTGGATGTGTTGTGGAAGAGTTCCTGGTTCAGATAGGCATGAAACCAGGGTCCTTGTGAGGGCCCTGCCAGCCCTGCAGTTCTGTAATTCTGTTCCTCATTTTGGATCATCATTTTAGTTTGGATCATGTGTGAACATGTTGGCACCTGTGGAGCGTGTGAGAAGCCATCTGAGGTTGTCAACCAGCCCCATCTCTTACAGATGAGGAAACGAAAAGGGACGAGGGACTTGCCAGAGTCACATAGACAGAAGCAGAGCTAGCATTTGAACCCAAATCCTTTGACTCTTTCCAGTTGGTTAGACTAAAACTTATAGAATGACTGGACCCAAAGAGTTGCCATTAAAGACTTAAAAGGAGGCCTCCAGGGGAGAAATCCAGATAGTCTTAGATTCCATGTGGGGGTCACTGTTTAGGAAGAACATTGACAGAAGCTGGAGAGTGTCCAGAGGATGATGACCACCATTGTGCTGGGCCTCCAGTTCATACCATGTGAGGATCAGTGGAAAGAATTGGGGGTGTTTAGCCTGGAAAAATCAGAAGACTTGGAGGAGGGGGGAGGGATGACACCCACCCTGAAACATTTGAAGGGTTGTCATGTGGAAGAGAGGTTGACTTTATTTTACTTGAAGCCATTAGGAGCAATAGGTGGAAACTTCGAGGAGGTAGCTTTAGTCTGGATATAAAGAAAGAATTTCCAAACAGTTAGAATTCCCATAGTGACTACCTCAGGGGTTAGAGGATTCCCTTTTATGAGAGGCCGTAAAGTCAGGCTGGATGACAGTCTTGGGGATGTTGTGGAACAGAGTTGTCTAACATAAGCAAGCGGCCCACCATGCTCCTGAGTTCAGCCGAGCCAGATTAAAATGTAATTGGGAAATATTTAACACAACAAATTAAAATATAATCAAACATAGATAATATTATATTTAAGCCAATTTTATATTAAAGTTACATTTAAAATTAATTAAATTTAAAATTAAATAAATAATATTACATTTAAAATTAAGTTGATATGCAGCAGGGATCCTTCTTTACAGATCAATGGTCCCTTTCTATTTGAGTTTGACAGCACTGGTGTGACAGAGGGAATTCTCCATCAGGTGGGGGCAGATAACCTCTCAGGTCCCTTCTGGCTCTAAAGTTCTGGGATTCTGTGATGACTTGGAAGGGCCACCAGAAGAGGTGATGGGAGAGATGTCATGGCAAGAACAAGTAAAAGTAGCACTATCTGGATAAGATGTCCTCTGGAGGCTCCTTGCTATACTGAGAAGATACCCTCAGCCTAATTTGCATCATATTGGACTGTTTGTCACTGTCTCCCTGGCAGTCAGCAGGATCCTGGCTCAAGACCCTGACCTTCTGAGGTCAGCTACACCCACCGTTTCACTTCAAGATTCTAAGGTGCTTGGATTTTGGAAAACGTCATACCTGATGATGGTATTATTTTTAGCAGAAATTGTAGCAGAGATTTCTGGCTTTCAGCATTTGTTTCTGGTTCATCAGCACTTCCTATTAAACAGTAGCTGAAAAGTCAAGGATTTACAGAGCCACTCAAATCCTTTTTCCTTAGCACAGCAGATGTCACCACTCAGATGCATGTTTGTTTTTTGTTCCCTTTTTTCCCTTGACCTATATTACCCAACACCACACTTTCCCTGGAAGGGGGAAAAAAAAAAACCAGAGAAAATCTCTGAGCTAGTTAGCTGAACTATGATGGTTTCCAGGCCAACCTTAAACAGGCCATGTATATATGTGGTCTAGTAAAAATGTCATATATATATATATATATAAGTTCAGACTGGGAACCTGAAGTTCGCCCATGCAAGTGAATTTTCGAGTGTTTGGAAATTTTTAAGTGTAATTTATTTAACTTTTTGCTGAGCTTCAAGTTACTTTAGAAATCCTGCCAAATCTCTGAGCAGTTTTTCAGACATGCAGCTGCTTTTGAGTTAACAATGGAGATTTTCTAGGACTATTAAAATCTGGAAGCCTGAAAGTCTATTTTAAACTTTTCACACTGTCAATGATTAGTACTTTAAAAAAGGCTGAAAGTAATGAAGTACTTTACCAGAAAACTCATTCTGAAATTCTGACAAAAAAAAAAAATAGGGTGGCTTTGCTGTGGAAAATCATAATGACCAATAATTTATCTAAGTGGTCATAGTCAAAGGACAAAGATACTTGGTTTTGCTGAATTCATAAACACTTGATTAACTTGAAGCTCAGACTACAGAGAGACGCTTTTTGAGTTAGTCTGTCTCCTCTCTGGTTTGGAGATTTGATCATGTAGATGTACCCCCAGGCTCTGTTCTGGGGCCCCCTTTTTCTATTTTTACCCTCTCTCTTGATGACCTCATCGGCTCCTGTGGCTAGAGTTAGCATTTCTGTAAACACTGGATCTGTCGATCTTGTTCTAGTGTTTCTCTCCTGAGTTCCAGTCCCATATCACCAACTACCCTTGGGACCTTTTGAGTGGCATGTTCCATTTGCTGTGGCTAAGTTGTTTCAGTCATACCCAATTCTTCATGATGCCACTTGGGGTTTTCCTGGCAAAGACACTGGAGTGATTTGCCTTTTCCTTCTCTAGTTCATTTTACAGATGAGCAACTGAGGCAAACAGGGTAAAGTGACTTGCCTAGGGTCCACAGCTACTAAGTGTGAACTCAGGAAGATAAGTCTTCTTGACTTCTGGCTTAGCGCTCTATGCACCATGGCGCCATGTAGCTGCCCTGGCATGCTTCATAGGCATCTTAAATTCATGTCTCAAACAACAGGTTATCTTTACGTCAAACTAATCCCTCTTCCCAACCTCTCTATTACTGCCCATGGCAACATTTAAACACCAGGGTTTAAAATCTTGGCGTAACCTTTGATGTCTCATTTGGCAAGTCTTGGGTGACACCTCATACTCTGAACTCCTCCCCATTTCTGAAGCTTTGCCAGCATAACAAAAGGTTGGCACTGCCACCATATGACCACGTGCTATTGAATGGAGAGGGAATTTGATGGACAGAATTGCTATCTGCCGTCTTTAGTTTCCTGCCATCTAAATGCCCTAATTTGTGCATTTACCCTGTGGAGGTGTGAAGAGTTTGGGACTGTCATTTATGAGCTTGCTATGGTTAATTAGGCAGTCTTTCTTTTCTGGAAAAGGTACTTTTGTTTTTGATTTATCAGATTGGTCTCTTTACCACCAAGTTATTTCAGGGCACAAGTTAAAAATTGGAAGTATTTAGTCAATAACTTTGAAGAAAGTTAGAGCACTTTTTGTGACATTTGGTCAGATTTTCAAGGGGCTCCCTCTTCTGGAAAAGCTTGTGTGACAATCCTGAGTCTTGGAAGAGGGGCTCCCCAGCGTCTTTCCAGAGTCCTAGAGCACCTCAGGGATCAGACCTCTCACCTGTGAATGCTTCCCCAAAAGGCTATCCTCCCACTCCAGAACTGCCCCTTCCCCTAAATAAATATCAGTTTGTTGTCTAACTTCTTGGACAGGAGAGAAATGAAGACACTCTATTGACATTCATAGAGGCAGAAGTAAAAATTTCATGAGATTTTAAAAATGTTGCTATATTAATATGTTTTCTTTTTTCAGTTGTATTTCCCAGTACCAAACAAGGGATAGAGGCAGTCACAAAACATAAAAGAAATCATTTCAGGTACATGGAATGAAAAAAAAATCTTTGGTACAGAATCATAACGACTAGAATAATAAAATAAAATGTTGATTAGGGGAAAATTTGCATAAATTGTCTCTGTTAAGGGTCTGATATCTAACACATAAAAGAAATTAGCACAAATATATGAGACCAAGAGACATCGTCCAGTGAATTTTGAAAATATACAAACGGTTCTCAAAAGAATTGCAATCTTAAAAACCATATGAAAGATTGATTCAGATCACAGTAATAAGAAAAATACACTTCAAAACAACTCTGAGGTTTGGCCTCCCAGAAAATTGGCGAAGATGACCAAAGGTGCATGCCGGAGGGACTATGGAAAGATGGACACACTAGAACTCTTGATGGTACAGCCATTCTGAAAAGTTCTTTGGAATTATGCCCCCAAAAGTGTCTAAAATGGTCACACATTTCAACCTAGAGGCTCTTCTTCTTGCTATGTACCCCAAGAAGGTGAAAAACAGAAGCAGAAGTCCACTGTGTGTCCACAGATATTCCTAGGGTCCTTTTTAGTGATGGCAAAAACAACTTCAAATCTGCTGAAAGAACATTTCCTACGTGAAACCTTACCTGATTATCCCCATATACTCTCATGCTCCCCACCATTTACCTATATTTGGTTTATATATACTGATTTAGGTACTAGCCGTATCTCGATAGAATATAAGCTCCTTGAGGGCAAGGAGCGTTTCATTTTTGTCTTTGCATCCTCAGTGTCATGCACAAGATCTGGCACATAGTGGGTGCTTGATAAGTGCTTACTGATTGATTGAAGCAAAATAAATGCCCATAGCTTGGGAGAGGCTAAGTGAATTTACCTACATGTATTTAGTGGAATATTACTGCATTGTAAGAAATAATAAAATTGAATAATTCAGAAAAACCTTGGAAAATGTATATGAACAAACAGTATGAAGTCAGTAGAACCAGGAAAACAAGATATATAGTAACTGCAATAATGTAAATAGGAAAAAAACAGAAATCCCACAAAGTTGAATGTTATATTATTAGGATGACTAAACTTGGCCTCAGATGAATTGAGAGAATACACATTCTTTCCTTCACAGAGTTGGAGGGACTCTGAGAATGTAATTTTACACATTTTATCAGACATAGTGGTGTTCATTAGTTTTTCTGAAATATTATTTTTCCTTCTTTCTAAAATTTTATTACAAAGCATGGCTTCCTGAGTATCAGCATATATTTGGGAATGGAGGCGATAATAAAAACAAAAGGTAACAATCAGTGTATGACTGAAGACCTTAGAGAAATAGCAGGCTAGGTTTGGAGTTGCAGTCAGAGAATCAGGGAACCTCAGAATGGATGGGCTCCTGAGATGTCCTCCATGAAAAATAACACCCCTTGAGGTGGACCTGGGCAGTAGGCCCCTAAGGATATGATTCCATTCTTCCAGTAGAATGTTGACTTATTGGTCTTTGGCCAGGGATTCTCACTTTTAAGTAGCAAGAATTAGAATCATCTACATACTGTATAAAAGTAGTGAGACTCTTAGCACTCAGTACCTCCTTTTCAGTGACTGCTGCTATCGTTACAGAAAAGCCGAGGATCCCTGGGTTTATTGTTTGGTGTTAGAAATATGCTTGACACCAAAAATTTAATATCAAGAAAGTTTATTACAGAGAAAGTCCAGAGGATTTAGACGTTTCTGGCCAGAAGCAGGCTCCACCCCTCTTCAGGAAGGGTGGGCCCTGAATACAAAGGCAAGTGTGCTTTTATGCAGTTAAATTGGGTGCAAAACTTCCCAGGCCTAGATTGGTCTGTTCTTTCCAGGGTCCTCTGAACACCACCCCACCCCACCCCCCACCCCCGTTCCCGTCCTATTGTGCTGACAATTGTGCTGTTGCCCCCTCCTCCCACCCTGGGCGGAGAAGTTGCTATCCCTGAGGTTCACTA